TAGAAAATTGAAAAGAAAAAGTGTAAAATGTTTTAATCACATTTAATTTGATCTATAATATTTTTTTATTCTATAAACGAGTTGCTTAAGGTATTATTGAAGTTTCACTGTAATTTCCCACTTTAAAAAGTGCCTTTAAACGCAACTGGCATTTGTGAAATGGCCGCATCGGCTTCAACCTAATGGTAGACCTATCAAAATCGCCCTTTTCAAGACGCTTTTTCACGGATAAAAAAGACACAATTAATAATGGAAAACCCGCACCAAACCTGGGTTCACTAAAACAGACCAGTAAGAACTTTGTAAGGCTTTTAAAGACCGTAACTATGAGCGCTACGAGCGGCTAACAGCTAGCACGGAGCACAACAAGCTATTGATTTTATTTACAAGTAATGTAAATAACTTGTAAATATTATTTTCATTACTTGAATGAGAATGTAACTTTTTTGTTACATTCTCATTCAGACTTTATTGAATATTTTTTTCTTTTGTTAATTTTCTATTTGAGCAGTTTGGGTTGATGTTTAGCTTAACTGGAACATAGAAATGTTTTGCTAAATTGCTGGCTATTCAATTATGTGTGCTGTGTATTTTTTTAGTACATTGATATATTGCTTTGATATGTATTGTTGGGCTGCATTATTGCTTTACGTGGCGCATTTTTATTTATTTGCATATTACTGGAGTGGTGCATAGTTTTTGCATTGTCCTGCACAAAGTGTGTGTTGTTCAGGTATAGTTGACGTCTATTGCAGGCCCTGACTGAAACCCCACAGCACCCACTGGCAATCAGACACTTTCATGATTAGAATACTTGGTTTCCTAAGGGGATTTTCTACAGTACCCCTTTGGCATTATGTTTTGCAGAATGGTTGTTGCACATGTGATGCTGCATGTCAGTATTACAACTGCTGTTTAACCCACACTTCCTCCTTTCTTTCCTTCCTTCCTGGACAACCCACTCAGCCTGTCCATGCCAAACTCCTCAGTGCCAGGAATGCTTCACATCTGCCTCGTCTGCCTCCGGATCATGGTGCGACTTTAAAGCTAACAGGTCGACCTTTTATTTGAAATTCGTCAAACCTTGTTTCAAATAGTTTGCTACTTATAAAACAACATGCAGCAGCCATTTTATTCTATTTCGGTTGCTATAACTTGTCGAGATTAACTTTGCTTATGTACACATGCCTCTTGTGACATCATATACTGTTGGAGATGACCTATAAGAGTACATCTATTTGTATCTTTTATTTGTCCTCTTTATCGCTTTCATTCTGTATATGATGTATGGATTTCAGAAATATTAGGCAAAAATAAAACCCACTAAAGCAACCAGAAGATGATAGTGGGGTCATTATATCTTTAAACAGCTTGTTAAGCGTTTCATAGGTTAATTCATGACATTTAAGATGAATAGAGCTTGGGATGTATTTTTTTAAGGCAAAACCTGAAACACACAGCTTCCTTGTATTATATAATAGAGGGCAGGAAAAAAAAGTCAAGTAAGATGTCAAGATGACAACTGTGGACCTCTACATGTCTATGCAAAAATAAAGAATACAGGGATGTCCAGCCACCTTGCCGTTCAGGAGGAAGACGGCTTCTGGATTCTGGTGCAAAATGTGAATTTCAACTCCAGAATAAAAGCAAAGAGATCAGTTTGCAAACCAGGGATACAGTTTTGGAGAAATGGCATCAAAATCAAAGTATTTAGCTTGAATACTTAGAAGAAAACGTACAGTTCCACAAAATAATATCCTAACTGTGAAGCATGGGGGTGGGAGCACTGACACAGACCATTTGTGTTTTGTGAGCGAGTAGTGGCAGATTGCTGCTCACACTGTACCAGGCTCTGCTACACATTTCTTCCCTTCTGCTCCCCAAATCCTCACGATCGCTGCTGCAAAGTCAATGACACAGTAGAAGCGACTATCCATTCTCTTTCACAACGAGTGAATCTGCCGGGTTTCCTTGGATCAGTGGTGTCAGAACTGGGCCAAAATCATTAAATTACACAGACCCACGAGCCAAAAACTCCTCACTCTTAAAAACATTGAAATCATAAAAAATTATAGTCTTATATCATTTTTCTTTACTGCTCAACAATAAACTAAGCATACAATAATCTTAATTAAACAAATAAAGAAGTCAGATTTTTGTAGGAAAGTCAAGTTTAGGTCATTGTAGAGCCAAAACCTCAAAGGGTTTTCCACGTTTTTGCCTTATGAGAAGAAAGGAATCCAGTTTTCAGATTCATCTGGGCTCGACTGAAAAAAAGGAAAATGCTCAGTCAATTCTCAGCAAGAAACAGGATTTGGGTCACCCTTTCTTTAAAACGTTTGCTGTATTTTGACAAGTTTAATACATTTATTAAAAGTAAATTTTACTAAAGTTTATTTGATATTTATACAAAATTCATTTAGGTTTTTTTTTTTTTTTTTAGAAATTTGCAAATTTATTAAAAAAAAAGTATAAACATCTGTTTATAAACTACTCAGAAACACCTGAGTGTCTGAGTAAGACTGGATAAATTTGGTAGGTACATCAAAAAGTCTTGCTATTCAAAAAATACCATACGTTGTTATGAGCATTTCACGTTTTAAGAATATTTTAATTTGTCTGTAGTTATTTTTGCACTAATTAAAGATGAAATAATTTGAACCAAAAATCTGACTGCAGTTTTCGATAATCTTTCTGCATCAGTGTTTTGCCTTCGTTGTTGTGAACTGGCAAGAAATAAATTGAAATTAAAATTTGCTGCAACAATTCCCACTTCAATAACCAGCTGTATTTTTTTTTATTAATCATTTTGCATTTGTAAACAACACCACACACCACTGGACTATATCTTTATGAGCCGTCAACTCTGCATATAGATGGTTTTGCCTGAGTGAGTGTTGGAGGGGGGGGGGGATCCTCCCCAACATATTATGGCAAAATGGAGGAGCATCTCTGGGCCTCGACGCTAAGCAGGTAGATGGAGTCCAGTCGGACTGTAATGGCCGCCTCCCTCATGGCAGCAGGGAGAGGAAAGGTCTCGGGAGTATTTAGCGGGCGCGAGGAAACAAGGTCGGACGTAGCAGATGAGGCCAACATGACTTTTATAAATATAATCAAGCTGCCCACAAGGACAAAAATACAAAAAAAAAGTGTGCAGCAATTTGGGTGTAGCAGCTGCCAGCTCGTGACATTTAAGTTGAATTTGACAGCTGCTTTGTGTTTAGTTGAGTGGTCTGGCTCAGTTCATTTTGCCAATGTGGCTGTTATCATGTTATAATGGATCACTAAACATATCAGCATGGTTAGATGGCTTCGGCATTGTGGGACTTACATGAAAGGCTAAAAATGAAAACCTTTTCCTCCTTGCTTCCTTCCTTCTGTTACTACCGTTTTTTTTTTTTTTGTCCCATTCTTCGTCCGCAGCCCGGTCACTCCTTTTTCCCCCTCCTGTTTAAGGCCTAATGACACGCCGTACCCGCCTAGTGCCCATTTTATGCGCTTCTTAAGTGAAACCGCAGCCAGGCGAAAGCTTTAAGTGGAGACCGAACATTAAAATGTAAGTGACAGAGCGGGTGAAAGTGTGATCGTTTTCATAGTTTGAGGCCCCATTGAGAAGTAAAATGGTTGGAAAGCGGATACTGTTATGGTTCTGCTCAGAACCCATTTACTTTCAAATGAAAGAGAAATCTCCCCCAGTTATGGCGGTACTTTGAATGTTACACCTTTGCCTTGGTTTTATCTCGCTAGTTGAAGATGTTGAATGAGAAAGATGTGCGGATTATGGATTATACAAATCCTTGCAAAAAGTACTGATATCTTTGAGGCTTGCACAGTTTCACAAGGTAATATGTTTTATTGGGGATTTATGTCATCTGCCATAATTGGCAAATAAAATCTGAGAATTGTGTACTATCCCATTTGTATTCAGTCCCCACTGCTCTAATACCTGTAATTAAAATCGAGGTCAACCGTCTTCGTTTAGAAGCCACCACGTTAGTAAAAATGTAATCTCAATATGTTGTGTGAAGGCCAGGTGGTTTGTTAAGCATGCTAGTGAATATAAAAAAAGTAGTTGACCCACCGATTCTGTGCAGAACTGTAAACACTAGGAGTTGCCAGCGTTAATAGTGTTTTCACATCTAATAGTCTAGATTCAGTTCGATAGGAGCGTTTTGTTACATTTTCAGCAGGTGCAGTTCACATTCACACCGCCCTGTGTCAAATGAAACAAGCTGTTTAAAAAACCTGTTCACCTCCTCACCTGTGGTGGCGCTGCACCAAGAACCAGTGTCAGGAAACGACACGTAAAAGACCACAAGTCATTTCTTCTGCTAGCGCTAAACTCTTGCATTTGTTTAGGTTGCATTTACCCAAAATGCCCCGTGTTGTAGTCCGCTTCCTGCTTTAGGAGCAGTCTCCAGTTTGGCATAGCACCAGAGTTCACTTCAACCGAACCGAGGCCTGGTTTTTAGACGGATCAGCGTTCGATGACGCATTCACAACTCTCCAAATGAAAACAGACGTTCCAGACATTCATCCTACAAAACCCAACAAAGACAGCTACATGTCCACAGGTACAAACAAAGCAATACTGGGTGATCTTCTGTCTGACTTGAGAAATATGTTGACTCTGACGCAGAAAGTAAAATGTTGTTAAAGAACTATAGGTTTGAAATGTTTGCTTTTATTTTCAATGTAAGAATAATATATCCTTCCACTTTATCTGCTGCTTTGTTTTTGGATTTTCACCTAAAATCCCAATAAAATACATTAATATTTGTAGTTGTAATGTGACAAAATGCTCAAAAAAGCCAAAGAAATACTTTTACGAAACATATTTAGATGTAAAATTCCAGTGAGGTTTCTGAAAATGGCTGTAAAATGGACAACTGTTTAAAGCTTCACATCCTGCACTTATTAAATTAAAATTAATCTTCATCAGATTATTACAGGATGCTGAGTACCTTTTGTTGGGCATTTAGGACTTCCATAGCAATTTCACGTTTGTTTCTTTAAGATTTTAAGTTTAATTTGATGAAAATTATTTAAAAAGAGAAAGGCAGGAGCACTTACAAAGCACAGTCAGGGATTTTTCATTACCCCGGCTCATTCTGACACAGCAGGCCCGGTATTACAGCTCTTGGATGTTTTCTCCAAAATGAATGCACCATCCAGCGGCTCCATTTTCACAGTTTATTCAGAAAATGTCTCCCGAAATGAGCGCTCACGCTCACATAAAACGGCAAAGGTATCTTGTTTGTTTCGCTATTAAACCATGAAACAAAAAAAATACCTTCCAAGGACACACAGAGGGGTTGATTCATACATGAGTTGTGTGACATTGAGTAAAATGTTGCTGTTTTTGGAGGCTGATGAAGTTGCCGAAGGAGTAAAAACGTTTCTTAAATCCACCCACCCAGTTGTTTTCAAAGATATTCCTTATTTTTGTGTTTTATTAAACTCAAATGCCCAAATTTCACTTGTAACGTGCGCACCAGACGCCACAGCGGTGCTCCGTTAATAGGAAACTCCACTGATTTTACACATCAGAGTGTGTTTACAGGTGTTGAGGAGAACTACTGTGAGCAGAAATTGCATAAAAGCCCTTTGTGCCGCTCCCCGTGGAGTTACACGCTATATTTAGCATAGTTTGGGCGCTGTATGATGCCTTCAGTCAAGCCTTTCATGGCACAGAACTGAAGCGATCATAACCATGTATGGTTTTCTTCAAAGCCACTGGTTCCCTTTGACTGGAACAGCGAGTTTAGCACAGAACGCAGCAGCCGCCGGTCCAGCGCCGCCTGAAGTCTTTACGCCGCTCCGGCTGCAGTTCACAGCCCAGCCTGGAAACACATTAACGGACCAAGGTGAAGAAAGACGGACGACTCCTGTGAACCGTGGGGTAAAATCACTGATATAAAAATGGCGGATGGCTTTGAAAGGGGGAATAAGGAAGCCTTTAGCTCCCAGGCGTAGAGGTGTAAGTACTTCTACTTAAACTGAATTTGACTTTTGAGGCTGGCCTGTCTTTATAGATCAGACATCTTTTGTTTTTGGTGTTTCTTTCACATAATGTATAGCTGCTCCTGAAAGAAAGAAAGGATGCTAAGTTGAGTTTATTGTACTTCCTACTCTTGAGAAGGACAGTGGTCACTGATGGCTTCAAAGCAGACTTCTGTTAAAACCGT